CGGCTCATCCCCATTAGCCTCTTATAAGGAAGTGCACCCCCCCCCCGGGACTACACTCAGTACTATTCAACAGCAAACAGTTTTTCCAAATGCTCGAAGTTGTTTTTAGTCTAGCTAGCAAGAACACAAACAACTATTAAAAGTAAAATGCGACTTTGAAAAAACTCAAATTTATAATTTAAAGGAACTATGTCACGAAATTGGTCAAAATTCAAACTAAGTGAAACATAAAAATAACTGCTCAAAACATTGAGAGTATTACCAAAATGAACTAGACAGCCATGACAGAGCCCCTATAATGACTTGTAATCCTGTTAACGGACACAATGCCATCGTGGATATCAACAGCAAAACATGGTGAACAGTTATTGACACCTTTTAGTTCAGTGTCCTTATTTACACTCTGAGGAATTCTCGATCACCAAACAAAAATCAATCGCCATGGGCATCTGCAGCTTGTGGTTATGTGATATTACTCCTCCATTGTGAAAGACTACCCTCACCTACTTATTCATTCCTATTCAAAGCTATTATAGATATCCTCTTTGTCATAATTATGCTGTTTATCCTAACTGTTCCAGGAGGTAGAATGTTAGACATTATAAAATAATTACGGTGTTAAAGATGTTTACCAAAGAAAATATGTATATAGATATGTATATAACTCCTACAATGTACACTTGTCATTATTATAGGTTGTGAGAGTGAATTCCTACAAAGATTTTCTTCTTATCGAGGTCATTCCTGCAAAAGTAGATGTCAATCAGACAGTTAGTACGGCCGTGTCGGTTAGTAAATTACAACACCAACACAGACGGTCCCGGCGTTCCGCAGAGAAAGAAAACAGCTTGGATTTTGAGGTCGATGTTGTCGATATTTCGGGAGACACTGGACGCTTTAAGGTGAATAACTTTAAATGTTTTGATGATAATGTGTACTTCGATATTTACCCGTTTTTTAGGTTGTTATTTTTTATACAATTTCTTCATTTTTGTGGGTAAATGGTTTTTCCCAAGCGCATCGGAACGATGCCGGCAGGGTATAAAGGTTACGTAGCTTACCGATTTATCGGCAAAAATATGATTTTCTGTCTCGCACCTCGCTGAAAAAAAGCAAACAAACATTTTCAAATGTGAGTTCACTTCTGTAGTCTCTTACGGATTAAACCACAAACTCACGCCATTGCTAACTCATGCACACATGTGTATTCTAATCATCATAAAGTACAGTCAAAACACATGCTCGATTTAACAAACATGAGGGGTGGGGACGGTAAACCCAAAAATTTACATATCCTACAATTTCCAGGAGTTTTTTGGTATTTCAATAACATGAAACGTTTTAGGGCAAGCGAGCGCTGTTAGAAAATTCGAGGAGCAATAATGGTCAATTATGTCATCCTTGGTTTTATAAGCATTGAACAGAAGCGGTGTCCCCGTCGAAGATAACTCTGGAAACATCAACAAGATTGATGGACTTCTTTGCAATGGCTGATTACAGTTTATCCTGTCAAGCAAGCTGTTAATAATATTAGCAGGAGCTCCGCTTTAAGGCTTATTCCACATTATGTGGACAGTTTTTCCAGCTACTTTCAAATACGTATCCCCTCTCGCAGTAATACAGTTCAATTGGATTTACACTATTTCTCTTTTCATTTCAAGTTCAGTGTTGGCATAGCAGCAAGAGCTCCGCCCTTAAAGCCTGGCCAAATATTTACAGTTTTGGAACAATTTTACAACTACTTTTAAAGACTATTTTCTTCCGAGGCAACCAGCATTTCCCAGAGAATTCTAGTTGTTTCACTTTAACAGGACATTACTTGATTGTAATATGATACATGATTGATATCTGTATTCTACCACTATAATTAATATGTATAGTAACATTTATTTGTAATTCGATTTTCACAGATGATATCCAAGGCAGGCTCCACAGTTGAAGGTTCCATTTCTGTGTCCCTAAAACAATCAGTTTCTTTTGGTATCGAGAAAACGTTGTCTGTTTATGAAGTAAAGGACGTTTATATCGCTCTTGACGTAACAGGTACAATAGATGCTGAGGTAGAGATCAACGTGGTTGCTGGACTGAGGTTAGTCTAAATTAATATCTAATATAAAAAATACGACCAGCAAGAAAATCGTTTTATAAAAAGGATGCTGTTTTAGGGAAAGTTTAGGACCACAACCATCATGGCTGCGATTTTGAATGATTGAATGACGTCACAAGCCTCCGTTTCCGCTCTTTTTCTTGTATTTAGAATGTCACGAACTGGGGACAACGAAAGTACTCGACAGGATTCGGGTGATCCTCTAACCAGAGAGCTGCGGCTTACTGGGTTGGCCCCCTACTCTTTAGCGTTTCTGCGTAGCTCAGCTGCTTCAGTTTTGAGGTGACAAAATCCCCGTCTGCTTCTTTATTTTAGCAGATGTGAAATGTCACACTTACTAGCTTGGTGTCCAAGACATAAAAATACAACCAGATAGTGGACATCCATGTTATGGTCAATAAACAGCTGTCTGTAGTAATACGAAACGAAATCGATACTTCCGGTATATTACACTTTCAAAAAGGAATATCCGCTGATGAGTTTCACATGACTAAATCACGGGCTCAAGTGTACAACTCATTGAAGTGAGATGTTTTTTAAGTTTCCCGCTGACCAGTAGTTGGGCGCTTTCCATTACACAAAACTTATGCTTTGAAATTTCGCACATTTGACGTGCCCAATGGAACGGTACGAAAACATTCCGGTTGCACAGACCCAACTTAAGCCACCGTGCGTTTGGTTATTGTTCTTGAAAGCAGCATACAAAAGAGCGGTACCGCAGACAACAATTTTGTCAAATAGAAAGGGACATTTCAGTTCGAACGACCGATATGACCAGAGCTGGTCCTGAGTGTTCTGGTCGAACCAAACGGAATAATGGTGCATCCCATTTGATGTAACAACCGGAAGTTCCGGAATGGAGAGCGCCCTCTTGTTTAAAGTGATCGCGGGCTCAGATTCATAATGTTTTCAGGAGGAATTAAGACGGAATCCACCATAAAATTGAGTAATTTTAATTTTCAGTGGACAAAACTCATGTACCAGAATAATTTATGACATATTGCATTTTTTTTACATTTTTGAAAGCCTGAAGATATAATAAATCATCTGTAATAATAACAACAAAGAAAATTTATTGTGGGAACCCGAGAAAATGAATGTCAAATTCCACAAAATTACATCTTTCTCTTGAAATTTTCAGAGATTTACCTGTGTTTTCACAATTCTTGTAAAATTTGAAATTCATTTTCTGGGACTCCCATGAAAAATTTTCTTTAGTGCTATTACAAATGACTAGTTACACCTTTAGGCCTTAAAAAAAATGTAAAATAAAATGCAATATTCTTTAAATTATTCTTGTACAAGGTTTTTGTCCGCTGAGAATTAGAATTACTCAATGTCCTGGTAGATTCCGTCTTAAGTTTACTTGCTGATTACGACAAAAGTTGAACTGTACTTCCAAAAAGACATTTCTTATAAGATCCCATGAGTGCTTCGCTTTTGGCCAAAGGAAGCTAGCGATCATTTTCACGTTATCATGTCAATCTGCAAGGTTTAATCAGAATCCTCATCCAGCCTTTCTCTGTTCTATAGCTTCCAAGGAGAGGTAATTCCACTGAAACGGAAGCCGCTCGGTAGAACGCGGTATATTCGTCTGGGTCTCATACCGCTTCCCATTGGAATATTTGCGGAGTTAACAGGAAGGGCTTTTATCAATGTCGGGGTGAGTACATACGTCAACTCGTTTGATTCCCACACTATAATTAATTTAACAGAGCTTAATTTTAAACGCGCCAACTGCAAAACTTGTTTCCAGATAATATCTTTAGAATCAATTTTGAGGGTGTATACCCTCTTCTTGGGGAATAGGTAACGTTGACAATAGTCACTCCAAAAATAATCCCAGCAGTATTTTGCAGATTTCCATTCATACACCTGGGTGATGATGGACGGAGTGGACCAAAGTTTGATTTCTTGTTTATTGAAAATAGCGACGGCTAAGATTGAATACTGACCTTAGCCACTACCACGCCTGCAGAACTTCTAATTGGGACGATCTATACATCCTAGTGTTCTTTTTTAGGGAAGACTGCGTCATACTATCCACAGTGCTGCCAGGATAGCCTTTGGGGGAGAATGTCGCTGGACAAGTGGATGTGAGTCAACGAAAAATTCAGTAAGTGTAATTTAAAAAACTTTGAAGGCGAAAGCACATTCGACGTGGATGTAACCAATAAAAAAACCATATCCCTTGCTTGACTAGTTAATGATTTGAACTATGTGGCAGAGCGCATTCTAGATATTGAATTTTCTCCCCTTGCAATTGTTTTTTTATCAAATCACTATGTAAAGGGATTGATAATATGAACCTTTTCAGCTTAAAAGTCTTCATAAAAATTGAAAATTAGCCTGTTCCAGCCTTCAGATAGAAGAGCGCGGGCGAGGAAAATTAAAAATTGCGTGCTCTTTCTAGTATCTGAATGCCTGGAGCAGGGTGCTTTGAAACAACAATGGTTCTCACAGTTTTCAGTCTTTCTGTGTTTAATATTTGGTGAACTATCATATGACGTCACAAATTCGTCATTGCCTCGCCGAAGCCACCTTGAGTTACAAGTTTACAGGAATTTAAAATTGTCAACTAACGGTTAATTCATGCGAAAAAACTTCAGCCTCGATAAGCTTTTTATACGTAGTAATAACCTTTTTGAAAAGTAACAACAGACAGTTATTTAACAATTATTCCTCGAGTCCGAATGGGCTCTAAGTCAATAGCCCATGAGGCCGAAGGGGAATAATTGTTTTAGTAAAATCCAACTAGTTGGTAAAAAAAATCGAGAATAAAAAAAACTAGCTAGTTAAATCTAGACTTTAATCCTTTTTGCCTCCAAAAAGCCCGCGCTTTGTGCTACTAGTGGGCTATAACATATAGCCTAGTAGTGGCTCAACCAATCAGAACGCAGCATTGATACTACTAGACCACTAGTTGGATTTTACTAAAAGGGGGATATACATCATCGCAACGAAACGGACAATCATAATGGCCATGTGAATTATGTATTGATTAAATTGAATCCTCCGATGAACTTCAAGAAACTTCCTTTTTGGTCAAATAAGCCACAGCAGTACCAATCCAAAGCAATACCGGAGTATTTCAAACACACTTTTCTGCCTCATATCTATTTTACAGGCGTCGATTTCATACCAGTATTTACAGCTACGTTACTTTGTGCATCAGGGTGAATAAAATGATCATCATCACTATTATTTTTGTAATGAAATTGGGGGCTCCGCTTTTAGGCTTATTTTTCTATTATATTTTTATTTGCCACACAATAATTACAAAAAATACAAGAAAAGAAGAAAAAAAGAAGTAGCGAGGAGACCTAACAGAAACTATAGGAGATTATCAGAGGTTAGGCCTCCTCGAACGAGGGGCTAGAGATGTTTCACATCAATTGAAGAAAGATGGCGAAAAGTCAAAGATGGAAAGATTTATGAACTGTTTTCATATTTACTCAATAATTTAATCTTCAGTTTTTTCTTAAAAGAGGAAAGGGATAGCCTGCGTAGCTGGCGGTATTGTGTAGTAGTCGAGTGAGATTTGGCGGCGGAGCCGTTGTAATATATTCGAGTGAGATTTGACGGCGGAGCCGTCACGAGCGGCGAAGCTGCGAGAAATACCGCCTGCCAGAGAACCATGATTTTTCGAATGCCGCCGACTTTTGTCACCTTAGCTGATCCCAATTAAATCAGCAATTTGAAACTTCCGATTATTTTCACGCGAGACAGTTTAGAAATAGGCGTTGATAGGCTAAACACGACTCCTAAGCTCGTGATAATGTGAAACGTGACCTTGTGAGTTTGGTTGAACCGAGGTTTTTTTATTTTCTCAGCTCTCGCGCGAAGGTTACTAGCATTACACAATGCATGTATCATTCTAAACTTTGACTGAGTAAATCTTTTTTTGCCACACTAGGCTTAACATTAAAAGGTCATGAAGCTGGTTTGTTACATGCATACTGAGTAACCATTTCCTGTGGTTTATTCTTCTGTAGGTGTTCCTGATAGGATTTGATCTCAGATGCAGTTGTAAAGTGTTCTAATTTTCTTTGACCTTTGTTTCTTACGGCTAAATAAAGACAATTCCAGCGCTGTGAAGTTCAAAGACGCCATTTCGGCTATTTGGTCATCAATTATGCTGTTTTAAAGGGGAAACCACAATCACTTACGTTTTCCAGTTTGCCATCTGCTCCCTTAATTGGGAAATATATGCGAAGGATCATCTAACATGATTGACATATATGTATGGCCCTCGACCAATCCGTTTCCCCGCACACTGGTGTGCGGACTATTCAAAATACCGGGGTTTTCTGGCAGGCGGTATTTCAACCGCCTCGTCCATACTCCCTTTTTTTGGAGCACGGCTCCGCCGCCAAAACTTTAATCTCGCACCCACACAATACCGCCAGCTACGCAGGCTAGGAAAGGGATTGAGAGTTGATGACCTCGTTGTCAAGTGAATTAAAAAACTTAGGCCCTAGAAAAAAGGGCGAGGACTTCTTAGTGTTTGTACGACAATACGGTAGACGGTAGGCCTGGGAATTTATTGTATTGTAAGAGTGGAATTGACTGCTTTGAGAGAAATTGTTATTAAACCTTGGAGGTAAGAAAGAATTTTTGCAAGAATAAATAAATTGGCCCAGTTGAAGCAAATGGATATCATTAAATTTTAGTATACCGAGGTCCTTAAAGATAGGGTGTGTATGAGCATTGAAATGTGATTTATTAATAATTGTGATAATACGCTTTTGCAGGATTAGGCCTGGCTAAATCTATTTAAAATCTATTTTACAGGCCTCGATTTCATCAGGCTGGACAACGTGGAAGACTGAAATATCACCACAAGCAACGATAGACTTTACTTTAACTCCAAAGTTGTCAGTAAAACTTCCTACAGCACCTCGATGGATTGGTGGACTGACGAAAAAGTCCCTATTCAGCCCACTTAAAAAGTTTAAAAAGTTTTTCAATAAAGGTACTTACAATAAAAAGAAAACCTCATATTTTGATGATAGGTGTGCTTTCCTACAGTCATCGACAATGGACCCTGCTTGGCCGGTTATTTGTTGCAAACTGAAACTGAAGATTAGATTATTCCATAGCTTATTTTGTTGCAAGCGACAAACAGTCCCGTTTCTTCTTTTTTTTTTTCTTTTTTTCTGCAGTGGGAAAAATTGGGAAATACGTGCAGTTTTCCTTATCAATTTACATCAGCCCACCACTTCAAGCGGGTGTCTCATTAAGTTACCCGTCAAGCTCCTGCCCAGGCTCCAACCCAGCAGAGCTAGGAGGTTCATATGGAGTGGCTGGGGTGAATGTTGGAACGACCATTGTTCTTGCGGGAAAGGATTTCGTCCTTCCGTTTAGCTTGGGATATTCCAAACTGGAATCACTCAGGTAGCTCTTAAACATAAAAGTTCTTCAAACGTAACAATGTTAACGTCTTGACGACAGCTGTCGAAGTTCTTTTCAACACTAAAGGACACCAAAGATTTGATTTCACCATGTTAGGGAATACGGATTCCGGAATCCGGGAAATTTGTCTTGGGGAATCCATAATAGGCTTTGAAATCCGGATGCAGCTAAAGGAATTTATTTTTTTAACGAAAAGAACAAACATATTCCAGGGGCATTCAAGTACGACTTTACCGTTGTTACGGGCAAATATTGCTTTGAAAATTAGAAAGTTCGAGAAATTTTCAACGGCGTTTATCCGATAACTTACCTACGATTTCTGGAGGTTGTCTTTTTCACATTTTATTAACAAGAAATTACAATAGCTGTTGAAAACGGTCTTCTGAAAATACTGTTATAGAGATAAAAAGTCCGCCAGACTGAGAGGTACAGATACTCCACGTCCTCGGAAGTTGGACCGTACACATAAGAGTAGCAAACAGTTTCGGATGAGACGAAAATTTTACGTAAAACTTTAGTTAAATAGTGTTTTAGGCAGATCCAAATTAACCAACTGGCTTCTAAAGCCTACAGAGACCAGTTAACCGTTCACGTATTTGGAAACATTAATTTGGTCATTGGGTGCCTCTGATAGAAGTAACCAAAACAAGGGGAATTTGATGTGATAATGTATATTGTTATATGTTTTAATTAAACTAAGGCCGACAAAAAGATCATTTCTTTTCTTTTCCTGAACTGTTATTGTCGGTTCTACCCTTTCAGCATGTGTATCTGTCCAGTTCCTCGAAATAAGGTAAGACCAACAACACTCATGGTTAACAGATTTGTTGTTCGCCCTTGTCCTAGCATCAAAGATTTTCTTCTCGTTATTAAACTGCAAAAAAAAAAAAAAAAACTAACAGACCACCAAGAAAAACTTGGTGTTTATGCTTCTTACCATTTTTGATGCCATAGAATTTTTGATACGAAGTCGATTCAATTTATGGTGGAATACAGTTTCTATCAGCTGGTCAAGTAGCAGGTAATTCATATCTGGTTGTTATTACTGTAACCCATTACGGTCTTTTTAATGATAGTTCTGTACGGGAACCACAGACCGACCAACTGATAAACCAAGTAAGAAACCAGCCACCCCAGCCACTGATGACAACAAAAGCCCTGGAAATGAACACAGTAATGGTAACCAAGGAACTGGAAACGGAGTGGGCCATGGTGGTATGAAGTAAGGATCTGCCTTGTCTGACCTTGGAACGTTTGAAATCTTTTATATTTTTGTTTATCACTCTTGTTTTCTTCATTTACAGCTCTGTCAAAATACCGGGACCACCCTGTGGCAAAGAACCATGTTGTGCCGGAAATCGAAAAGGACCTGGTTGCTCTCAGCCTGATCTTTGGCCATTCCGAGGTAGGAGTTCGACAATCCTTTTATAATATGTCAAAATAAATTTAGATACGTTAAACGATCCAGCTTCCAAGATTTATTTTGATTTGACTTGTGCCACGAACGTTCGATGTCTGTAAGTTCGGCTAGGCGTCTTCACGTAGTTTTTTAGTTTTCAGTTCTAACTTGTGAAGTATCATTTTTCAAGGTTACTTTACGTATATATTTATTGTGAGGTGTTGAAGATTACAGTATTTTCACATTTAGGCGGATAAAGCTTAACAATAAAGTTGACGCGGCTCCTGATAACTCGAACCTCGCGCTTGTTTCCTCTCAGAAAATCTTTACATAATGTTACTCTCGATAATTCGAACCATTGTTTTGAGAGCTTGAATAATCGGCATCCGAAACATGAATTTTGAATTTCCCATTGACGTGTTGTAGGCGTATAGTTTACTTCTGGAGGCCCAGACTGGGTGGAGGCTCATATTGTCTGTACAAATGCAACGTGGGTGAGCCACCAGGAAATTGAGTAATTTTTTTTTTGAAATTTTCAGTGGACAAAACCTTGTACCAGAATAATTTAAAGCACTGATTGCACTTTTTGTTACATTTTTCAAGGGTTAAAGATAGTCATCTGTAACAACACCAAAGAAAATTTCTTATGGAAGCCTGAGAAAACGAATGTCAAATTTCACAATCCGTTTTCACAATTCTTGTGAAATTTGACATTAATTTTCTCAGACTCTCATAAAAACTTTTCTTTGATGTAATTACAGATGACTAATTACAGACCTGTCATTACATCTTTAGGCCTTGAAAAATGTAAAAAAGAATGCAATATTCTTTAAACTATTCTGGTAGAAGGTTTTTGTCTACTGAGAATTCAAATTATTCAATTTCCTAGTGGATTCCGTCTTTATTTGGAAGGGAGGTTAGGGATGTAAAGGCGATGAGTTTTTTGCCGGTCACTGATCATGAGATAGTATGATCGAAACATACCTTATATAGGATAATTCGCTTTGTTTGGGCTTGTGAATTTGTTTAGTACACGAATGATTTACTCTACAGGGGCAACATGTTCAGGCAACGGAATTGCTCAAAGTACCTCTGGTTGTGGGGCTGCATGTCGATGTCTGGGGGGCTGGACAGGACCATTGTGTGATAGAACTACAGCTGGAGGAAGAGGAGATCCGCATTTGGAAACTTTAGATGGTGTGTGTATGAGGACAATCTTCTATAAAGCGGGAATTCAGCAACCCTTTGGTGCCTTTTTTTAAATTTTTTTTTAAACAATGAAATTAAGGCGTTTACTTTAAAAAACACACTTAGCTAATAATAGTTTTAGCTTCTAGTTCAGCTAGAAATAAGCTTTCGATACAAGAAACTTTTAAAATTCGCAATAATGTCACTTTACTGTGCACGGACTATAATGGATTGTGCATGACATTTTTTTATACAAGGTCAAACATGTGGCGATAATAGACGATAACTTCGTTGGGTGCTATTGAAGTTAACTATTTACCCCATATGCGGTTTCGATGGTTTCGTAAGGACGAAAATGTGCAGAAAACACTAGAATTTTTGCGAAGTTTTCTACGCGTTTTAGTGAGGAAAAAACATTACTGTGGAGGGTACCTTAAAACGGATCGTAGAGCGACATGTAGAAAAATGGAGTGCTTGAAATATCTCAGTTACGTTACCTTTAATTTTTTTTTCGTCTTCAGGAGTTGAATACGACTTCTTTGGCATTGGAGAGTTCTGGGGTTGCAAAAGTAGAAAGAACGACTTTGGCCTTCAGTTTCGCTTTTTCTATTATGAAAGAGCCTCACTGATTGGAGGGTTAGCAGTGAAGACTGGACAAAGCATTGTAACAGTTATGACAATCAAGACCCAGTATCCTGAGGATTCCCCCAATGTTCGGTAGGTCATTCCTCCTCATGTAAGGGCCGGAATCCAAGACAGTCTTGGATTCTGGATTCCACGTCGCGGATTCCGGATTCCAGGTACTAGATTCCAGCCTTTACCAGCGGAACTTGGATTCTGGATTCCAGTCGCTAGTGAGATTCCGGATTCTTTCAGCTGTATTCCGAATTCCAAAGCCCAGGATTCCGGATTCCATATGCAAATTTTTCCCGAATTCCAGATTCCACAAGCAAAAATTTCCCGGATTGCGGAATCCGGATTCCCCAATGTTCCATAGGTTATCGCTGTACTACTGTTGTCCATGTTGATTGACCTGTGTAGAAGGGAGCGAATAGTCCAGTTTCGAGGTCGCTATGACCGCTGAATGAAAGAAGTGAAGACGCATTTTTTACAGGCTTAGCCTCTATCTGAAGTTATATATTCACAAATTCCAACGAGAAAAAGACCTGTTTATTACTCTGTGTATTGTGTTTAGTCAAATTTCGAACACTTACTTGCCGGAATTTCTGAATATTTTACTTTACGTCGAGGCTAACACTGTATGAATGCGTCGTTAATGTTTGTATTCAGCGGTAATTTTTAATTCGAAACTGGAGTATTCACCTTTTTTGTGAAGAGATTTCATCAATTTGCGCAGGAATACATTAAAGCCGATGACGTCACAACCGTGCGTTATCTCATGAATTGAATTCGGTGGAATCTCATTGAGATAAACATGTGCTATTTTAACGGGCGGTTTAACCAGTTGGGCAGGTTTTCTGATTATTTATAGGGCGATGAATGTCTTGCTTTTTTATTGGTTTATTTTATTTTTCTTGCAGTCTTTTACTTCTCCTTCAGATGGACGACGGGATCCCGTTAATTTTCCTGATTAATTTTAAAGCGAAAAAGTTCACAGGGGAAATTTCGGAAGAAACACTTTCAAACTCACAAATTAGTTTTTTGGTTAGACATAGCGCCAGCTTCCTCTTTAGGAAATGCACTGTCCTTTCTTGGGTGTAATAAGATTGCCATAAAAACTTTCCCGTTGTTATGCATTTTTTTTAGCAATCCAGGAAAAAAACATTAGAGAGGAGAGTATTTCTTTTTAACTGACATTTTTACTTTTAACAGGATCGATGGCTTCTTACTCAATGTTACTGCCAATGCTTCTGCTATCGAAATTAACAATGGAACGGTTTTGCTAGATGTTCAAGTACGTTTCAGCTCGGAAGTTCAAGAAAGTAGTGTACTCCTTATGTCGCTCCAATATCAATCAGGTATTTAAATTGGGCCAATATAAGCGAAAGTATTCTATTTGTTGCGGGGGACAACAGGGGAATGCATTCCTAATCTCATTGTTGCCATTATGCAGGCTTGGCAAGTAGGAAGCTAACATTCGTTTAGACTTCCACTAAGAGTGAATGGAATGCATTGAACGCAATACGATCACGGGCGTTTTGAAATCCTACCACGTGAAACTTGAACATCGATCAAAAGCCTAAAAATCGCCCGCGCTCAGTTACCTTTGGTTATTACTAGTTTTTAACAACAGAGGCATTGAACCATAAGAGAAAGGCCATTGAAAAGAAATTGAATGTGATATTACGGGTTTGGTGTACTGTCGTTGATATTGTCTGACGTTTCTACAGCATCGACACCACTTCGACAAAGTTTTCTAGGAATGCCTTT